GTTTGACTCGGCACGGAGTTTAAGAAAAAAGAAGACTTTAGGAACTTGTGGTCTTAAAAGCTTAAGGGGTAAAAAGTTTGTGGGGCCATGACATTTGTGTGACTATAAAAGCTTCTCATTAAGGGTAAATGAGTAAAATGAAAGAGTTTAAAGTTGAATTATTTCCAAATTTAGAAATGTGTCATTTATTTTGGAACAGACTAAAAAGGAAAGTACCTCATTTAATATGAAACGGAGGGAGTAGTACTTTTCATTTTCTCTTTTATTTTGTATAATGTTGGCCGGATGAATTTAAAGGAGCATGGTTGGTGGGATTTATACCGAACCCAACTTGTTTGGAACTAAAGCATAGTTGTTGTTGTTGCAAGATAGATAAATACATCTTATAGATAGAGGACATAGGGGGACCTATCCTATGGGGAGGGGCTTCACCGGTACATGTTAACTTCTGGAAAAATCTATATTTACATGAGTGTATACCCTGGAAAACTTAGATATATTTTACTAGGTACCCTGATAATGAAAAGTTAGCTGGGGTCACTGGTCGATGGGTTCCTTAGCGCTGCCTTTCGGTTTATTCACCTGGGATCGATTCTTGATATAAGCATATCATTTCCCTTTTTGTTTTGTCAGTAAACAACTTTCCTTTAGCATGCCAGCTATTTTTCTTCTTCTTTTTTTGCTTTTCTTACTTTAGGTTTACCTTTTCTTTAGCATACCAGATTCTTTTCTTTTTGCCTTTTCTTTCTTTAGTTTCCCACCCACTTTTCCAGAAGTTTAGACGGTAAGGCCCAAAAATATTGGTGCCCCCTCTACGCTCATATCCTTGGTCCGCCTCGGGAAGAGGAGGAAGATCCACAATGAGGTCGTACAAGTAATATAGAATTGTGAGTCCAGATATCGTTCCCACAGGGTCTTGTGAATAACTGTTAACTAAATTAAACCCAAACAATTAATCTATTTAAGTGATTTTCTAAAGATTATTAACTACAACTAATCTAGAGTCGAAAACTAAGAAATTAAAGAAAACAAGTCTGCAATCTTAAAGATGAATTCAATGGGAGAAAATATTCAAGACCTATGGGTTAGCTAACAATTCCGTTGAGTTTTTCACTTAAATCGTCTAATTAGTTTATCCGGTTTATTGATTGACACGGTTAATATTGCTCGTAATCTTCTCCCGAAGTACTACTAACCTATTCAAGCTAACCTAATGCCTATATTCCTATGGAATCAGGATTAGCAAGAACGCATTAATATTTCCTTTATAGTAACCAAGCAAGGCGATTAGGTATATCCCTATCCTAACCGCAAATCCGTTCTCGATGCTCGAGTTCAAGATCTTGCTCTACTCAATCTTATATGCAATCTAGAATTTCCTCTCTAGAGTTCAATCCTAGATTTATAGATAGTATTCAATAGTGATCAAGCAATCAAATAATTAAGTGCAAGATTGAATAAATAAACCAATATGAAAAAATAATAAGAACAATTCAAGCTTCAAACTATAACGTTCATGTAGCACCAAAAACTCTAGAACTAATAAACTATGAGACTAAAGGAAGGGAAGAGAAAGAAAAAATGAGAATCCTTGCTTCCGAATGTTTCGTGCGTGTATTTCCCTCTCAAAGTGGCGTCTCCCCCTCCAAAATGGGTTTAGACTTGCTTTTATACACATTGGGGGGGGGGGTAGGCTTGGGCCGAAATAACCTTGTCCCGGACGAACTAGGAGAAATTTCCCATCACCGGCGCCCAGGGTAGCGTGGGGCGCTGGGATTTTTGAGGTTTTGGAAACTGGGCCACAGGTAGCGCCCCACGCTACCAGTGGCACTACACTGTCCCAATTTTTCGTTTTGTTCCATTTCTGCTTCAACTCGTGCACTTTTGTCGCACATTACCTCCGGATGGCTCCTGCACATTAAAATACCACGAATTAACACAATTTATAAGATTACACATCTGAAATTTACGAAACATGAGTAAAATGCGAGGCAATGTGCATATAAATATATATACTTTAAGCTAAATATCAACTTTCCTGTAAGAGTCAATTCTAGCGATGAGAGTGAAAGTAATTTTTTCATATCTTCGTTCTCCTGAATTAGAGAAGACGAGATAAATTACCGTAATTGTCCAACAATAACGCTCATTTTTATATTTAGTGAGTGGAACACATGATTGATATATGTAAGGGTTGATACTTTAATTTATGCAATCTGGCAGTAGAAGTCGCCCAACATTTAGATCCTTTGTTAATAACCAAGAAATTCCCCACGGCCAATGATGCAAGTTCAAGTGTTTCATTCTATCCAACTTATCATAAGTCCTTAGTGCAACCCCCTTTACTTTAGTTTTACTCTTTCCAACCAAGTTTTCTGTGTGGTTTGGTTGTACTAGCATTTTATCAATTACAAATTATGTTTTGGAATAAAACCCTACCTCAGGCGTGTAGCATATTCTAAATGGACTTAAGTTAACATTCTGTTCCTATGGTATGTCATAGTGCTGTTTTAATAGATAAAACTTGCCAGTTTCACGACAGAGAATTAATGAGCTAGACCTAATAATTTTAATTAGCAGATATGAACCGCTTTATTTCTTTATTATCAAATGGCTTATCGGTTATGGAGTACTCTAATTTGCTTGGATTTGAATGGGTAATGATGGATGTTTCCAATTCAAGAAGAAACGGAGTATATCTTGGGAAGTGGACCCTTTGGCACTCTTGTGGACCATATGGAAAGAAAGCGGCTAAGAATCTTTGAAGAGATGGAAGATACTTTCATATGAATTTGTGGAACTTATATGTCCCTTTTTTTCCTGTAAAATTCTATAGCATTCGTGAGACTGCCCTCATAGATTATTGGCTCTTCTTTCAGATAATCATATTCGTTTCATAAACTGTCTACCTTTGTATATATACGAGGCTTTCTGGTTAGCATAAACAGAAATATTTAATCATCAAGAAAGTTAATGATTGAGTTAGAAGTAGAAAGGTTCAAAGCTTCAATTTCCACAGCAGACATATCCGATGAAGGAGCTAAATTAAAAAATTATTGCAGAAAAAAAAAAATCTTTTGCAATCTAATGGAGTCCACTGACACATACAATGCATTGCTAGGATCACTTTTATTTTCCTTGGCTTATGTCAGTATGTTGGATACTCTTGTAGTATTAGTTACAAATTTCAATCTGTAGATGTTCTCAGAGGAGAGTTGAAGTCCTGTGGATAATTGTGTGCTTTTTTCAATTTAAGCTTTGCTCAAGACCTTACACTCTCGTTGCTTTGCCTGGAGTTATGCTGAATATTACAGAATCTTGATATCGGTGCTTGGAGTGAAAAGAATGCTTGTTGTCTTACCTATGTTCCTTGTTCATATTAGTGCACATTGTGCTATGTTGATTTTGATGCATTATCGTGTCAAAATTTGTCTGACTAAAACTAGATACTTCTATATTTGGTGCAGTATTTCTTGTATCAGATCCTCCGAGGGTTGAAATACATACATTCTGCGAATGTTCTGCACAGGGACTTGAAGCCTAGCAATCTCCTGTTGAATGCCAACTGTGATTTAAAGATATGTGATTTTGGGCTAGCTCGTGTCACTTCTGAAACTGACTTTATGACGGAATATGTTGTGACAAGATGGTATCGTCCACCTGAGCTGTTGTTAAATTCGTCTGACTATACTGCAGCAATTGACGTATGGTCAGTGGGTTGCATTTTCATGGAATTGATGGACAGGAAACCCCTATTTCCTGGTAGAGATCACGTACACCAGCTGCGTCTTATTATGGAGGTATTATTCAATATCTACCACTCCCCCCCCCC